AGAGGGCTTGGAGTCCCTGGAGCTTGAGTTGCAGGTGGTTGTGAGCTGTCTGATATGGGTGCTGGGAATCTAGTTTGAATCCCCTGGAAGAACATAACGTAGCATTGGGCATGGTGGCACTCAACTTTAATCCCAGAACTTGAGAGGCAAGAGGCAGGTGGATCTCTGAGTTCAAGGCCAGCCTGGTCTACATAGTGAGTTCCAAGACAGCTGGGGCTGCAGGGAGACCCTATCTCAAAAAGACCAAAAAAAAAAAAAAGCAGTGTCTGCTTGTAACTGTTGAGCCATCTCTCCAGCCCTTAACCTAGGATCTTGCAGATCCTACTCCCAGATCTACTCCCAGATTCTACTTCCAGTAAGCTATGGCCCCACAGCCCTAGGGGCAGATTTGAGTTTTTCTTACAGCAGGGGGCAAGAAAAGGTGAAGTCATCAAGAAAAGGAAACTTGAAATGAGTTAAGGATTAACATGTTTGTTTTGCTTTGATTTTTGAGACAGGGTCTCACTAGGTAGCCCTGGTTGGCCTGGAACTCACTGAATATGTAGACCAGGCTGTCCTTAAACTTACAGAGATCTGCCTACCTCTGTCTCCCGAGTGCTGGGATTAAATACATTGACTTTTGAGAACACTCATATCTCAGTGGTGGGCAGGGGATAAAGAAGTTTTAAGCACAGGTAACAGAGACCCAAGAAGTCTGTTACCCCATCTTGATGAACACACAATCCTCTTTGCTTAACCACCCAGTGCTCCTCCCTACAGAGACATAAACTTGTTCATTACAATTTAAAATTTTACTTGGGGCGGGGTGGGGGGCGGTACGTGCATGCCACAGTGCAAGTGTGGAAGCCAGAGTACAGCTTTTGGGAGTTGGTTTTCTTCTTCGACCTTGTGGATCCTGGAGATTGATCTGCACTTTTTTTTTCCAGTCTGTCTGCAGTGTGATCATTAGAAACTGGGCTTTGTTTATTGTTGGGAAATGGAAGCTGAAGGAAATTAAGGTTCAAATTACATTTGTAATTACATATATGTTTGTAAGTGTGTACACATGAGTGCAGGTGCCTGCAGACGCCAGAGGCATCAGGTTCACCTGGAGCTGGAGTTACAGGCAGTTGTACTGCTTGTTTTTGCCTCAGATTGCCTAAAATCTGAAGTGCCTTCAGAAATCTCCTGGGACTAGAGAAGCAAGGGAAAGTTCTAACTCTAAAAGGGATAGGTTTGTCTCAGCGCCGTTTATGAATGGAGACTCTGATCTTTCTGTACTCTCCCAGATGGATGGTGGATCTCCCCTGGCTAATCTGGGTCTTGTTTTTTATTATTGTTGTTTGTTGTTTTGTTTTGTTGTTTTCCCTAAGTGGCCCAGGATGGCCTTGAACCCTAGGTCCTCCTGCTTCAGCCTCCTAAGTGCTGGGATTACTGTTATAAGCTACCATGTCTAGCAATTTAGGTCATTAAATATATATGTATATATATATATATATATGTGTGTGTGTGTATGTGTGTGTGTATATATACATATATATATATTTAGTGATATATACTTATTTATTTGGTTGAGGGGTATGTTTGCATGTCACAGTATAAGTGTGGAGGTCAAAAGACAGCTTGTGGGAGTTGGTTTTCTCCTTCCAGCCTGTGAGTTTCAGGATTGAACTTGGATTGTCAGGCTTGGGCAAGCATCTTTATCAGCTGAGCCAGCTTGTTGGCCTAGTTTTTTAGATATTCTCTTTAGCTTTTTCATTTATAAATTTATGCCTAAAGCAGGTATGGTAGTGCATGCCCGTAATCCCAATACTCAGGAGGTTGACACAGGATATCCAATGCCTGGTTTAAGGCCAGTCTAGTCTTAGTTTAGGGAGAGCATCTTAAAATGTCCTTCTTTTGTTTAAAGTAGAAGCATCAAGATTCAACATGCAAAATAGTGTTCTAGTGTTCTTTCTTTCCCTCTCTTTCTCACTCGCTCACTCCCTCGATACTGTTGATTGAAGTTACGGCTTCGTACATGCTAGGCAAGCACTCTTACCACTGAGCTGTATCTCCCTCCCTATAGTACTGTGAATTACTTAGTTATCATATTTCAGCAAATAGCCTGTATTTCTAGCATCCAGTACCAGAAATGAAACCTCACCAACATGGCTAACGAAACGTCACCAAGGGTAGAAGCCCTCTGGATACCCCCCTCTTCTGTAATATATTAGGTGTGCTATTAAGATCTATAATGGGAAGATGATAGTAGCTCTGCTTAGCTCACAGGTTTATTCTGTGAATTAGATGAGTGGTGCTGTTTTTTTTTTTTTAAGTGTCAAAAGGATTCTGCTAAAGGAATTGGGGTGGTAGGCTCTTGTGCTAGTCTGGGTAGATACATCTCAAGTACATGATGAGCAGTAAAGGAATGGAAATTTCCCTGTATCCTCCTTCAAAGAAGAAAGATCAATGTATTGAATTCCTCAGTATCCTTCAGAATATATCCATTCACCAGATATTTATTGATCTCTAGGGTGATAGTTCACTTAGTACAATGTTTGCCTTACAAACCTGAGTACCTGAGTTTAATCCCCTAGAATCCAACTAAAAATGCCAGGTGTGATGGCATGCACTTGTAATCACAGCACTGGAGAGGCAGAGACAGGAAGATCCCTGAGGCGCTCTAGCCATCCAGTCTAGATTAGTTAACTGCAGGCCAATGAGAGATGCTGTCTTTTTTTTTTCTTTTTTCTTTTTTTTAAAGAAGGAAGAGTTTATTTGAGCTTACAGTTCCAAGAGGAATTACAGTCCGTCATGGTGGGGAGGCAAGGTGGCAGAGGTGGCTGGAACAGGAGCAGAAAGCAGAGAGCTCACATCTTCAAGTGGCACAGGAACCAAGAGCGAGGGATGCTGTCTTAAAGGAGGTGGTCAGTGTTACTGAGAATGACACCAAAGGTTATCCTGTGGTACTCAGGAGGTAGAGGGAGGAGGATCTCTGTGAGTTCAAGGCTAACCCAGTTTACAATAGTGAGGTCCAGGCCAGCCAGGGCTACATAGTGAGACCCTATCTCAAAAAAAGAAAAAAAAACCCATAAAGCTGTTTAGTGAGTAATTGCTGTGTATCACATACCTACTCTGGGCAATGGGGATCTATCAGTAAAAAAAATGTTTAAGGTTCATGCTCTGAAATTAAGTAGAAAAGTATCTTTGTTTTCTAGTTTATGGAAGGTCTTATTCTCACCTGTGTTTACTTCAGTTTTTTGAGTTTTAAAAAATATTATTTTTAGCCAGGCATGGTGGCACACGCCTTTAATCCCAGCACTCGGAGGCAGAAGCAGGCAGGTCACTGTGAGTTCAAGGCCAGCCTGGTCTACATAGTGAGTTCCAGGACAGCTGGAGCTACAGGGAGACCCTATCTCAAAAAGACCAAAAAAAAAAAAAAATAAAATAAATTATTTTTATTTTATGTGTTTTGCCTGCATGTATATAAGTGCACTTGTGTGCTCAATGCCTACAGAGGCCAGAAGAGAAGGTGTCAAATCCCTTGGAACTGGAGGTACACCTGGTTGTTAACTATCATGTGGGTGCTGGGAGCTGAATCCAGGCCCTCTGCAGGAGTAGCCAGTGCTCTTAACCATTGAACCATCTCTCCAGCCCCTTCTGAAGTTTTTTACATTAAAAAATACTTTTTTTTTAAATGTATATTAATGTATTACAGGCAGGTTGGAGAGTAGGTGCACCAACCTGCAGGTAATACATTAAATGTTCACCCATACCGGGGTTCTTTGCAAGAAGCCAATATTCTTAACTGTTCAGCCATCTCTCCCACCCCTTAAAGCTATTTTAAAGATTTATTTTATTCTTTATATATTTTTTGAGACTGGGTCTCTTTTTGTAGCCCTGACTGGCCTGGAAGCCCAAGTCTGCCTCTGCCACTGAGTGCTAAAGGCATTATATAAAAGGCATATATTTACCATGCCTGGCAATTTGCTTACTTTTTAATTATGTATATGTGTGTGGGTATGTGCACATGAGTACAGGTGCCAGCAGAGGTCAGAATTGTCAGATTCCCCTGGAACTGGAGTCACAGGAGGTTGTGAGCTGCCCCATGTGGGTGCTGGGAACTGAACCCAGGTCCCATGGAAGAACAGTATACGTTCTTAATCACTGAGCCATCTTTCCAAACCCCACCACTACCTTCTTTTGTTTGTTTTCTTGAGACAGAGTCTCTTAGCCCAGAATAGCTTAGAATTCACTATGTATCTTAGGTCAGTCTTGAATTTTTTTTTTTTTTTTTTTTTTTTTTTTTTTTTTTGTCTTTTTGAGATGGGGTCTCCTTGTAGCCCCAGCTGTCCTGGAACTCATTATGTAGACCAGGCTAGCCTCGAATTCACAAAGATCCGTCTGCCTCTGCTTCCCAAGTGTTGGGATTAAAGGTGTGCAGCACCAGGCCCGGCAATCAGTCTTTAATTTTTATCAGTCCTCCTGCTTTAGCCTTCTGAGTACCAAAATTGCGGATATGAGCCACAATGCCCAGCAGTAACAGGATTTTTGTTTTTATGGTGATCACAGTGCTCAGGAATCGAACCTGGGGTTTTATGTATCCTGAGCAAGTGCACTACCACTAAGTTATATCCCCTGCTTCACAGTTAAACAAGCAATATTTACCAGGCAAGTTTTGAATTAAGATCAGATACATTATTTTTTGGTCTTTTTGAGGCAGGGTCTCCCTGTAGCCCCAGCTGGCCTGGAACTCACTATGTAGACCAGGCTTGAACTCACAGAGATTTACCTACCTCTGCCTTCTGAATGCTGGGACAAAAGGCATGTGCCACCAACCCTAGCTCAGATGCATTCTTATTGGCGATTAAGATATGTATTTTTCTGCAAATTCAAGTCTTAAGAATTTTTTGGTGTCAGATAATGCTGGCATTTGAAGTAGAATCTATTTTCCATATTTTAGTCCATGTGAACTGAGACCATTTTCTTCTACCCTGTCAAGGTTTTAAACTTGTATCCCTTCCTTTGATTTGTGTCAGGGTGAACCATTGATGTAAAAGACTTTGGCTCCATAAATCTACATCTGTCCTAATGCTGTCATCCGGAGTAGAGACTCAGCCAATTCCACTTGATTCCTCCATGTCTGCTGTGGTACAGGAATTATACTCTGAACTCTCAGTAAGTGTCTCCAAAGAGCTTCATGCTGACTGTGAGCTACGTGTGATTCCAGATGTAACACTTGGAGCCTCAAGCTCTCATATAAGTCAGAGTAGGACGTTGCCCTTGGAACTTCAGAGGATTCATACAGAGAGTTGCTGTGAAGAAACCTCTGAGGCCTTGGATCATGGGGGCAAGACGGGGTGGTATGAGCTAGTGGACGCCACAGCAGGAGGTCCTATGGCTTTTGAGATCTTGGATAGGGAAGAGAGAACCAAGAGCATGGAGTTAAAGGTCGTCAGAGATGAAGGGGACCAGGCGGAAGTTATCAGAGACCCCTGTGAGGGAGCAAAGGAAGACCTATGCCAGCTTGCCACAGCTACTAAAGAAAATATCAGCCCAAGTCAGGTAAGAAATGAGACTGTGGTGCAGATGAGTTCAATGTGAGTGATAGCTCTGCAGAGCAATGCTTCCCAGCAGGCACTGACAGGTAGCCTATGGCTTAGTCTTGAAACATTTCCAAAACTTTCAGTTTGGATATTTTGATGTTTTTGTAAAACATTTGTGTCACGTCACATACTTGAAAGGAAGTGCTTATCTAGTTTTTAAAAAGTCACTTCTGAGCTTCAGCTATTGTATGTATGAATTGTTGAGTCTCCAAAATTCACAAGGTATTTCTGTGTGTGATATTAAAAAATGATGTGTTGGGGCTAGGGAGATGCCTTGGTCTATAAAGTGCCTGCAAAGTTTAAATCCCTAGCACCCACATAAAAAGAAGCCAGGTACAGCAGCATGTGTGTGTAACTCAATATTGAGTGGGTGGAGAGAGCCAGGTCTCTGGAGATCATTGACTAGCCTGACTTGCCAAATCCATGAGCTCCAGGTTCAGTGGGAGGCCCTGTTTCATTAAATAGAGTCTTGGGGTTGGAGAGATGGCTCAGCACTGCCTCTTACAGAGGACCTAGGTTCAGTTCACAGCACCCACATGGAGGCTAACAGCTGTCTATAACTCCAGTTCCGGGGGAATCTAATCTTCTGGCCTCCTTGGCATTGCATGCATGTGGTACACTTACATATATGCTGGCAAAACACTCATACACATACATTTTTTTTTAATTTAAAACAAAAATAAGATCAGAATCTATTGAAGCATACACCTGATGTCTGCCCTTGGCATCCATGCACAAGCACACACATATGCACTTGCGCACGTATATGTACCCCAGCCCCCACACAAAAATGATATGTACTCAATCATTCAGGTTTGGTAGTGTCATGATTAGAGTGAAGTGTCCTCCAAGAAGCTTAATTTTTATTTATTTTCCAATGATGGATGTCAAACCTAGGCCCTGTGCATGCTAGACAAGCAGTCTACCACTGAGCTACATTCTCAACCAATTTTTTATTTTTTAGAATATCAGAGGTGTAGCCAGGTGTGATGGCACACGCCTATAGTCCCAGCACTTGGGAGGCAGAGGCAGGCAGATCTCTGAGTTCAAGTCCAGCCTGGTCTACATAGTGAGTTCCAGGCCAGTTGGGCTACAAGGAAAGCCTGTTTCAAAAAGACCAAAAAAAAAAGAAGAAAGAAAAAATATCAGAGGTGAGCTTTGGAGCTTTAGAGGACTGACCCAGGTCCTCTGGAAGAGCAGTTACGTGCTCTTCTGCACCATCTCCCGAGCTCCAAGACATTGTTTGTTGTTTGAAACAGGATCTCACTCTAGCTCAGGCTGGTGGCCTTTAACTCAAGGTGAGCCTTCTGCCTCCTGAGTGCTGTGATTACAGGGGTGCACTACTATGCCTAACTTTGTTTTACAATTAAGTCTCACTCAGGACAGTAGTACAGACTGTCCTGGAGCTCACTATGTAGCCCAGGCTGGCCTTGAACTTGTGCCAGTCCACCTTTCTGGATCTTCTCAATGCTAGTACAGGAGTAAGCCAGCACAGGCTCTCAAGACAGTTCTTAAATACACACTGAAAATGGAATCGTTATTTCATAGGTGTGGACACACTGCCTGGTCAGTTTCTTTCTGTAGAGAAGCTTCCATGGGAAATCAGATTTCTCTGTGTAAGCTTGTAATTGGCATAAGAGATTTTAATTAGATGAGACTAATGATTAGTGAACTGTAAAAACCTAATGGACCCAGATCCCTAAAGGATTATATATGCTAAGTGGATTAGGAAGCTTCATCTTTCCTCTAGATAGTTGCCTAAGCCAGGGGTCAGCAAATTTACTTTGTGAAAGGACATAAGGGGGCTGGAGAGATGGCTCAGCAGTTAAGAGTGGTTACTGCTGCTCTTGTTTCTTGTTGAGAGCTTGAGTTTGATTCCCAGCACCCACATTGGGTGGCTTACAACTGCTTGTAACTCTAGCTCCAGGGGATGCTTTTTTTGGGGGGGGTCTTTTTGAGACAGGGTCTCCCTGTAGCCACAGCTGACCTGAATTCCCTATGTAGACCAGGCTAGCCTCAAACTCACAGAGATCCACCTGCCTCTGCCTCCTGAGTGCTGGGATCAAAGGTGTGTGCCACCACCTGGCTTAAAAATAAAAAAATTAAAAGTGGGAGCTGGCAAGATAGCTCAAAAGGTAAAAGTGTCCACTGTACAAGCCTGAAAACCTGAGTTTGATCTCTAGGATCCATGTAAAGATGGAAAGAGAGAACCAACTCCACAAAGTTGTCTCCTCATCTCCACATGTGGACAGTGGTGTGTGTGCCCACATATACTTATCATATGTACATAGAATAATAATAAATAAAAGAAATAAAGTCTGCTGGGCATGGTGGCACACTCCTTTGATTCCAGCACTTGGGAGGCAGAGGCAGAGGCAGGCAGATCTCTGTGCATTCCAGGCCAGCTGGCTACAGGGAGACCCTGTCTCAAAAAGACCAAAAAGAAAAAAAAAGAAAAAAGAAAATTGGTGCTCTAGGCTATTCTCCAGTCTGCAGGGCACTGTTGTCCCCTCATTTGCTCATGGCTCTCACTTGTGCAGCAGAGAGGTACCCAAGGCATGTTGTAAAGTATAAGCACTTTCTCTTACCTCAGCACTTTTCTTTCTTTTAAAAAATATCTTATTTACTTTAAAAAAAAATATTTATTTTAGCTGGGCATGGTGGCACACACCTGTAGACCCAGCACTTGGGAGGCAGAAGCAGGCGGATCTCTATGAGTTCAAGGCCAGCCTGGTCTGCATAGTGAGTTCCAGGACAGCTGGGGCTACAGGGAGACCCTACTTTAAAAAGACAAAAAAAAAAAAAAAAATCTTTTATGTGTATGAGTATATTGCCTGCATGTATGTGAGTGCACCCGTTTCATGCAATGCCATGGATATCAGAAGAGGTTTCGGATTCCCCTAGAACTGGAGTTAAGGACAGTTCATAGCCGCCATGTGGGTGCTGGGAATCGAACTTGGGTCCTCTGCAAGAGGAGTCAGTGCTCCTAACTGCTGAGCCATCTCTCCAGCCCCGAAAAAAAATATCTTACTTACTTTTATGTGTGTTTTATCTGCATGTATGAAAATGTACCACCTGGTTCAGTGCCTGCAGAAGCCAGAAGAGGGTGTCAGAAATCCTGTAACTAGATTTACGGACAGTTGTTAGCCACCGTGTGGGTACTGAGAAATGGTTCTTCTGGAAGAACAGGAAGTTCTCTTACCTCTCTCCAGCTCCCTTAGCAATTTTCTTTTTCTTTTGTTTTTCTTTTTTCTTTTTCTTTCTTTCTTTCTTTCTTTTTCTTTTTTTTTTTTTTTTTTTTTTTTTGTCTTTTTGAAACAGGGTCTCCCTGTGGCCCCAGCTGTCCTGGAATTCACTATGTAGACCAGGCTGGCTTCAAACTCGCAAAGATCCTCCTGCCTCTGCCTCCCAAGTGCTGTGATTAAAGGTGTGCGCCACCACGCCCGGCTGCAGTTCTCTTAAATCATTGTGAGAAGTACTTTTAAATGCCTTACTCAGCTAACATGATCAGTACTGCACAGTTACCAGTTGTTTTGCTGAGATATAGGGGAACATTTCTTCTAAAGTTGCATAAAAATTATTTGAGTTACCATTTCATGTTTTAACCTCTCTAGCTATAAAGATATAAGAAACTGGAAGATCCCTCTACAAATAAACACTTCTTTCATCAGAGTGCTGGGCTAGGGCTTGAACCCAGGTCTTTGTGCATGATAAGCAGCCACTCTACCAACTCAGCTTTATCTTCAGCTATGTGTTGAGGTTTTTTTGTTTGTTTGGTCTTTTTGAGACAGGGGTCACTCTGTAGCCCCCAGCTGGCCTGGAACTCTACGTAGACCAGACTGGCCTTGAACTCACAGAGCTCAGCCTGCCTCTGGCTCCCGAGTGCTGGGATTAAAGGCATGGACCACCACACCCGGCACTATAGTTTTTTGTGTGTGTTTTGATGTTTTGTTTCTCCCTGTAGCCCCACCGGGCCTGGAACTTGGTTTGTAGACCAGGCTGGCCTTGATCTCACAGAGATCCATATGAATTTGCCTCTTGGGGGCTGGGATTAAAGATATGTGCCACCATACTGGACCTCATATTGAGTTTTCTCAAAGTCTCAACTCTGTAGTCCAGGCTAGCCTCTTAACTTCTGCTGTTTTCCTGCCTCAGGTCTCTCATGTGTTGGGATTTCAGGTGTGAACTACCACAACCACCCTCCAGGAGTATGCTTTCTTAACCTTTTATTTTTAAATAATGAGAGAAACTGAAATCGTCTCTCTTTTTTTTTTTTTTGGTCTTTTTGAGACAGGGTCTCCCTGTAGCCCCAGATGTCCTGAACTCACTATGTAGACCAGGCTGGCCTTGAACTCACAAAGATCTGCCTGCCTCTGCCTCCCAAGTGCTGGGATTAAAGGCGTGCGCCACCAGGCCCAGCTAAGTATTTTTTAAACTAATACGTTCTCACATTTAGCTGTTAACCCCCAATTTTTCCATTGATTTGATTTGCAAGCGTTGAAGAACTCGCCAGCACGTGTTTGAGTTCCACATGGAACTGCCTCTCATTTCTTGTTCTCCTCAATCCCTTTTCTTTTTATTTTCTATTTTTAAAAATATTTTATTTTTATTTTATGTGTATGAGTGTAATGCCTGCATGTATGTGAGTGCAGCCATGTCGTGCAATGCCGCGGAGGTCAGAAGAGGTCATCGGATCCCCTGGAACTGGAGTTACGAACAGTTGTTAGCTGCCATGTGGGTGTTGGGATTCAAACCCACTCAACCCCTTTTCAAACGCACCGAGAGAGAGAGAGAGAGAGACAGACAGACAGACAGACAGACAGACACAGTGTGTGTGTCTGGGTGTGTGTTTTCTCACCTGCATGCTTAGAGAATTGGAGGAGGTCTGCAAGTGGCTCTGTTGGCAGTGTGCAGGAGCAAGGAAGCTGAGAGAAACCATGGAGCAAACAGGCTAGAGCTTGGCACCCATCTCAATACTAACATTTAGGCACCCCTGCATCCCCAATTTATTTCTTGATTTCAGAAGGCATTCATAGGAGCTGGTAATGGTAGCACATACCTGCAGTCAAGGTGCTGAGACAGGAAAATGGCTAATTGAAATTTAGTCTGGGTTGCATAGTGAGACCCTACTTCAAGAAAAAAATTTTTTTTAAAGGAAAGCAGAACAGGCCTGGTGGTGCACACCTTTAATCCCAATACTTGTGAGGCAGAGGCAGGCAAATCTCTGAGTTTGAGGCCAGCCTGCTCTAACTAGTGTTTGTTTACATTTATATCTGCTTTAAGCTCAAGTTCTAGAGAAGTCAAGTTTTTATTGATTATATTAACCTAAGTTTAAGCATTCCTTCCATACTCAGTCCTTGTGACAGTTGGCAGATTTCCTGGAGTCATAATGAACTCTGAAATAATAACTATTGTTTGAGAGCTTAGGTACCTCTGAATGTTCCATTGACTGCTGAGTTTCCTTACTGTAGGAAGATCTCCTGATGCAATCCAGCAAAGAACTTCTATGTGCAGACCTCCCTGAAGACTTTCAAAGGAGCAAAGGTACGGTATTTCTTATCTAACACGTCTCCTTTTCCACTTACTACATACATTGCTTTTTAGTTTTACATTCCTATTTTGTATTCAGATTATAAGAGTTGTAGGTGCCTGCTTTGCAGGTTGAAGTTAAGTATAGAAATTTCTTCATACTGTTTGTGGGTATACCTGAACTCACCCATTAGGGTTAGATAATGTCATCTTTTTCAGCTAAGTTTGTTTCCCTCTTTACTTTTCCATAGCAAGTTCTTATTTAAAAACATTTTATTTATATTTATTTTATGTATGAGTGCTCTACCTTCATGGATATAATACACCTGTGTGTGCAGTGCCCATGGAGGTCAGAAGAGGGCATCGAACTGGAGTTACAGATGTTTGCTCACCATGTATGTACTAGAATCAAACCAAGGTTCTTTGAAAGAACAGCCAGTATTCTTAACTGCTGAGCCATCTCTTCAGCCCCCCTATTTTTTAAAATATTTTTATTTATTAGTTTTATTTTATGTGTTTGAGTGTACTGCCTGCATGTATGTGAGTGCATCCGTGCTATGCAATGCCACGGAGGTCAGAAGAGGGCATCGTTGGATTCCCCTGGAACTGGAGTTAAGGACATGTGGGTGCTGGGAATTGAACCCAGGTCCTCTGCAAGAGCAGTCATCTCTCCAGCCCTAAATGAAGTTTATTCTTACACATAGCTTTTTTTTTTTTTTTTGTCTTTTTTGAGACAGGGTCTCCCTGTAGCCCCAGCTGTCCTGGAACTCACTATGTAGACCAAGCTGGCCTTGAACTCACAGAGATCCACCTGCCTCTGCCTCCCAAGTGCTGGGATTAAAGGCGTGTGCCACCATGCCCGGCATCTTACACATAGCTTTTCATAAGCCATATTATACTTTGTATAGTTGCAGATGGAAGTGCGTTTTCCTTTTCAACCAAGATGGTATCCCAGCACAATGGAATGCTCTCTATAACAGTATTTTAAGTCAATGGATAAAAAGAATATTAACATGCCTCACCTACCATCAAAGCCTACACATTTGAAAATTAAATAATCTTGTGAGGTTTACAAGTCTACTCAGCTTGTATGAACTGTCTTTGTGGAGGAGAGGAGGTAAGGAAGGTGGGAAATGACCTGCTTTTCTTCTGCTTGCAAGAAATACACAAATACATGGCTGCAGCCAGTATGCAATATCTAGATGACTTTGAGCATCATGAAAGTGAGAACAAGAAGTCCTTCTCAGATACCTGCCAAGGATGCTCAGGCCATTAACAGCGTCCTGGACAGTTGTCCTCTTTTGCCTTTTGATTTTTCTTGTTTTAACTTTTCTTAATGAGTATAAGTGATAATTTTTTTTAAAATTTTATGTGTACGAGTGTATTGCCTGCATGTATGTGAGTGCACCCATGTCATGCAGTGCCTCGGAGATCAGAAGAGGGCTTCGGATTCCCCTGGAACTGGAGTTAAGGATGGTTCGTAGCCTCCGTGTGGGTGCTGGGAATTGAACCCAAGTCCTCAATAAGAGTAATCAGTGCTCTTAATCGCTGAGCCATCTCTCCAGCCCCTGCAGACTAAAATTTTTATTGTTTCAATTTTAATAAGTTTGCTTTTATTCTGTGATTATTCCATGTCAGTAGACAGTAGAGGAGGACTTCTTTTCAGAGACTCAGGTCACAATTCTTTCTTTAAAAGATACATATTGGTAACCGGGCATGGTAGCGCACAGCTTTAGTCTCAGCACTGAGGAGGCAGAGGCAAGCAGATCTCTGTGAGCTTGAGGCCAGCCTGGTCTACAAAGTGAGTTCCAGAGCTACAGGGAGACCCTGTCTCAAAAAGACACCCCCCCCCCCAAAAAAAAAAAATACTGGGGCTGGAGAGATGGCTCAGTGGTCAAGAGCATAGACTGCTCTTTCAGAGGACCCAGTTCAATTCCCAGCACCAACGTGGTGGCTGACAATTGTCTGTAACTCAAGTTCTAGGGGATCTAATACCCTCTCTGACCTCCACAAGCATTGCACGACACAGGTGCACCTACCTACATGCAGGCATTACACTCATGCACATTAAAAAAAAAAAAAAAAAGATACTGCTGGGCGTGGTAGTGCACACACCTGTAATCCTGGCACTCAGGAGGCAGAGGCAAGTGGATCTCTGTGAGTTTGAGGCCACCCTGGTCTACAAAGTAAGATCCAGGCCAGCTGTGGCTACAGGGAGACCCTGTCTCAAAAGACAAAAAAAAAAAAAAAAAAAAAAAAAAAAGATAATTATTTTATGTATATGAGTGTATTGCCTGTATGTATGGAAGTGCACCCCTGTAGTGTAAAGTGCCCACAGAGGTCAGCCATGGACATCAGATCAACTGGAATTGGAGTTATGGGTAGTTCTTAGCTGCCATGTAGGTGCTTGGAACTGACCCCAGGTCCTGTGCAAGAGCAGCCAGTGCTCTTAACCGCTGAGCCATCTTTTCAGCCCCAAGCCACAATTCTTAGACAGCAGAAAAGAATTTTCAGGACAAGTCAATATGAAGCAAAAGTGTTTTTGTTTTGTTTTGAAAGATTTGTGTGTTTGTGTGTGTGAGTGTGTCTATTTGTGTGTGAGCCTTCCTGAGTATATATGTACCATGTGTGTGTGCAGGAGCCTAGAGAGGCCAGAAGAGGGCATCAGATACCCTGAAACTGGAGTTACAGGTAATTCTGAACCATCATGTGGTGCTGGGAGCTGAACCAGTGTCCTTTGGAAGAACAGTAAACACCTAACCACTGATCCATCTCTCCAGGCCCAGAGTTGGAGTTTAATAAAGAAAAGGTTCAGTTGTCTTCTTTTGGGTGGCAACCAGTACACATTTTACTGCAAATAAGGTCTTCATTTTTAGTTATCATTTTCAGCATGTTGGATTTTGTTTTGATGTCTGTTATGGTCTAGGTGGGCAGGGGTGAATGGCAAAAGAAACAGAAGAGTGGGTAAAGCATAGAATATAGAGAATATATAGTGATCTAGGTGTCTCAATATTTTCTAGGGAGGGAGAGAGTATGAAGGCATAAGGGAGAGGGTAGGGATAGTAGTGCAGGCTTTGTGTGCTTTCCTAGGCTAGCCAGGGCTGTGCTGTAGGGTTGAATCACAGTGCAGTAGTGCTTGTGATCTTTCTTCCTTTCTTTTTTTGTCTTTTTGAGACAGGGTCTCCCTGTAGCCCCAGCTGGCCTGGAACTCATTATGTGGACCCGCTTGGCCTTGAACTCACAGAGATCTGCTTGCCTCTGCCTCCTGAGTGCTGGGATTAAAGGTATGCGCCACCACGCCCAGCTTTCTTCCATTTTATCCTCTGCTTCTGAAATCAAATTTTAACCTGGCATTTGAGAATCAGAGTGTGGGGATAATCTTGTTGCTGCACTTCCAGGGCAAAGTGGAGCTTTGGGGGCTGGAGAGATGGCTCAGTGGTTAAGAACACTGGTTGTTCTTGCAGAAGATCCGGGTTCGAATCCCAGCACCCACTTGGCCGTAACTCCAGTTCCAGGGAATCCAATTAGCATCTTCTGTCCTCCGCGGGCACTGCACGACACAGGTGCACTTACCTACATGCAGGCAATACAGCATATACATAAAATAAAAATAATAAATAAAATAATAAAAAAAAAAGGTGGAGCTCTTTCCCTAGTTCCAGGATGTGTTCCTGAGTGTAGGCAGTTTGAGAGCACTTACTTGGGCTCTCCTCCTTCATTATAACTATGCTTGACAGTGCTAACATGGATCTTCATCCAGGGAACACCATGGACTCCTTATACATCTGGCTCAGTGGCCTTACAAGAGCAGCAAGCCCTTGGGAATACTTGCCTGGATACCTGCATGACCATTCATCCCTAATAACAGTGCATTGAACTCACAGAGTTCATATTACTGATATGAAACCTTTGATTTGATTTTTATATAATCAGAAATGTATTTGCCTATTTGAAAAGATTGAGGTAGGAATCTATCCAGTATTGGCTTTTGGTGTTTTATTGTTATTATTGTTTTGTTGTTTTGAGACAGGGTCTCACTGTGTAGCCCTGGCCGTCCTGGAACTCATATTGCCTACTTCTGCCTTTTGGGTGCTGGGATAATAGGCATGTGCCACCATGCTTCAAGTATTGTTTTATATGGAGCAATTAGGTAGGTAGGAGAGAAAATGTTCACTCTGGGTCACCTTGAGATATTTAGAAAGTTTTATTTCTGTTACCGTGTTTTGCCCCTCAAAGCAAGGCTAGGTGTAGGCATCTGAAATAATACTTTTACAATTGACTGGGAAGGAAGCTGGGGCCAACAATGTTGCCAAGCCACTATTCTCTTGTCCTCATTCCCAGGATAAAAATAATCTTAGGTCACTTTAGAAACAGCTGTTATACAATTAAGGTTAATAGTATAAGATAATCAGAACCTCAAAGAAAGAAGATAAGGTAAATTTTAAATGACATGAACATTGTACATAAGTCTTGCCCTGTTGTTAGGACCTTACCAGAGATGCAGTTTAAATGGCCCCCACACCCAGATTCCAGGATCTCAGTAGAGCTCTAGTGTTTACCTATATTTAGTCTTTGGTGCTTTTTAAGTTTTTATATTTACTTTTAAAATTTTATGTGTATGAGTGTTTTGCCTGCATGTATGTAGGTGCATCATGTCATGCAGTGACTGAAGAGGCTGGAAGAGGGTGTCAGTTTCCCTGGAACTAGAGTTACAGACATGAGCCACCGTGTGGGTGCTGGGAGCAAAACCTGGGTCTGCTGCAAGAGCAACCAGTGCTCTTAACTACTAAGCCATCTCTCTAGCCCCATTGTGTGTGTGAGTGTGTTTGTGTGTGTGAGTGTGTTTGTATGTATGTAGCGTTGCGGGGGGGGGGGGGGGGTGTGGGGAGACAGGGTCTCCCTATAGCCCCAGCTGGTCTGGAACTCACTGTGTAGACTGGGCTGGCTTCAAATTGACAAAGATCCACCTACCACTGCCTTCCTAATGCTAGGGTTAAAGACATGCCCCACCACAC